CCCCACTTTAACTAGGAGAGACTAAGGACCTGCAAGGCTGGGGAGGTTTGCCAAGGACACAGCCAGGGAGGGCTGAGGATTGGGACCAACTTGGAGACAGATCACTCCAGGGCTTCCTTGTCAAGTTGTCCCTCTGCCCTGGGCTCACCATTTCAGATTTCTCTCAATCTCAGTCTTGTCAGAGACACAGAAAGTTAGTCGCTCATTTGTGATTTCATTGAGATTCACTTGGCCCGGTGGTTCTCAAAGGTCGGTAGGTATTCAAAGCACCTGGTGATCTTGAAATACTTCCCTGGGCCTACCCCTAGCCCAGTGTTTCCCAACCTTCTCTCATGATGAGAATCACCTGGTGGAGTTGTTAAAACACAGATTCCCGGATCCCAACTAAGAAGTGCTAAACTAGAATTTTTGGGAACATATAGGTAAAATTGTATACTTAACTAGTGCTCTAAGACAGATTTTATATACAGAGCACTAAGTTATAATAGGTATGCAATTTTACCTATATGTTCTCAAAAATTCTATTGATAGTTTAGCACTTTTTAGTTGGGATTCGGGAATCTGTGTTTTAACAACTCCACCAGGTGATTCTCATCATGAGAGAAGGTTGGGAAACACTGCCCTAGCCTACCTCCAACTGCCTGCAAGGTTTTCTTCACTCTCCAGGTGTTACCAATGCCTCCAAAGTTTGAGAACCACAGCTCCAAGGTGCGGTGACCTCAGGTGTGGGCATTGCAGACCCTTTCTCTCTAATGGGGCCAAGGAAGGCCATTTTAAGTAATAGAGAGCTCCTGGGGAGATCCCTCGGAAAGGGAGAAGGTGGATCTCATTGTTGCCCTGAGTAGCTCATACTTCTTAAAAGCAGAGCTGCAAGCCCAACACAGGAATCAAGCTTAGTGAGGGGAGGAGGACCCTGGAGTGGTGCCTGAGCCCTGATGGTCAAGGTTGATTTCTTTGGGCATAAGGATTTGGGACCAAAGAAGAGATGGGTCGAACCAGAAACCCACGTAAGTGTTGGTGGCAGGGTTGGGAAAGCTGTGGGATGTGGAGTAAGAGGATGGCTTTGGACCAGATACCACTGGGGTTTCCTGGACCCCCTCCGGCCAGTGGGGTTGGGTACCAATGGACATATTGGGCTTATGCATCCCAAGGAGTGAATGCTATATGCATCCTTCCAGAAGGAGGCCTTGAGGAGGGATTTTTAAGAGGTTGGTGGCGTCTGAGGGTAGTGGACTTCTTGTTAAAGCTCCCCTGTCCCAAACTTGTCTTATCTCTTCCTTTTGGACCTCTGTTTTCTCATCTGTAAAGTGAGGCTAATGGAGGTGCTGTCCTCATAGAGTTGTGTTAAGGATTCAATCACGTGTGTGTACAAAGACCTTAGACCAGAGCCTGCCATTGATAATATTGTGTTTTCAGACTGTTCTGTGTCCCCCAATGCCTGCCATTGATAATATTTCGTCTCAGAGGATTCTGTAACCTGCACCATTCATTCTCATCCTGATACATTGGGCAACTTCACTAAATTCAATGGACTGTAATAAATTGTGTCCTTAATTGCTCTATCTGAAAGTTGAGGAGAATTCTGACCTCCCAGCATTTAAGATTAAATGAAAACAAAGCTGTATGTAGATGGGGCTTCTGAACAGTTGTTAGGCTCACTAATTAGGTAAATGATCCAGATTGAAAATGGGAATCTATCATTTACTATCAAACTCTGTCTGGCTAATATGTGCCACATAGGTGTAGCTATGTTACAATAAAATTGTATTTGCAGAAACATGAGGTGGGCCCCTATTCTATAACTATACCAAATTATCTTATAAATCACCTGTTAAGTCTGTAACAATCTGCAGAAAACAATAACCAAACCCCCAATTTCTAACTCTGATTTATTTCCTTGCCTAATGTTCTTGGCTGAGACTTCTGGTGCAATGTAAGATATTTAACACTAACAATGAATGAATGGCCTAATAATTCATTTAGAAGTCCCAACTCTTCAGATTTTTCCAATTAAGTAGGAAGTTGGTGTTTTGGCTGAGACTGTCTTATGTTAAAGAGGTATCCATTCATCTCAATAAGTTTTCTAAGTCAAGAATGGTTGTCTACTTTTGTCAAATGTCTTTTTAGCATCTATAGCTGAAGTGATTTTTATCCTTTTAGGATTTATTAATGAAGCTAATATAAATGTAGAATTGAACTATCCTTCCATTCTCACTTAACCCCACAAGGTTATCTTATGATGCTATTAAAATTGTTTAAGTGTTATTCAGCTTTTTAGTATTGATAATATAATCACATGTGAGATTCATTCATTGTTTTACATTTAATCTTCATTAAATGTGATGCCACTATTTTTTTATTATAAAACTAGAGGCCCACTGCATGAATTGTGGGTGGGTAGGGTTCCTAGGCCTGGCCTGTGATCAGGGCCAATCAGGGCGTTCCTTCCCACCGGATGCCAACTGCTGTCAGGGCTTTCCTTCATTCCATGCTGCCCCCTGGCGTCAGCACATGTTATAGCGAGCAGCAGAACTCCTGGTTGGTCGAACTCCCCAGGGGACAATTTGCATGTTAGCCTTTTACTATATAGGATGTGGATTCTTTTCCTTTTCTCTAGCACAGTGTAAATAGTATTGGACCAATATATTATTTTAAGTACATGCTAGAATTCCCCTGTGCAGGCCTGCACCTGAAGGTCAGGGGAGTCTAAGTTGCTGCAGTTCATAATCTCTCTCTTTCCCTGAAGGTTCAGGCAAGCCTCGTGAGGCCAAAACTGAAAGCCAGAATGTGAGTTGCCAATCAAACACCCTTCAAAAGCCATTAGGCCAGACGAAGGACCAGGGCCTTAGAAACCAGAGACACAATCCCCAGGTGATGGAACTGATCATGAGCCTGCAGCAGATCATAAAGGAATATATCCTGCAGCTGGAGAGCAGGCACCAGCAGGAGGACCAGCAGCAGGAGAACCTGCAGCAGGAGGAGCAACGGCGCAATCAGAAAATCAGGGATCAGGAAGCCATCCTTGTCCATTTAATGTGTGAGGTGGTCAAGCAATTACACTCTGGAGCCTCAAGTGGCCTGGAGCTCCAACTGCCTCATCTATCCCAAGACTCAAGGGGTGGTGCTGAAGGTGGGCAACAGGCCCAGTCATCCAGGGAGTCTGACCAGCTAAGTCACCAACTGCGTAATTCAAAACCTGCACTTATCAGCCGTGACCTATCCAACCGTGGGATTGACATCTCTGCCTTATACCAGTCCAACTTCCAGGACCACATAGCCTACCAAGGAGACAAATACGATGAAGACAACATCTTGGTGAGGATGTCGGTGGTGGGAAGGGCACACACACTAGAGAGGCCCAGTCACTAGGATTTACTGAGTTCTGGGCCATGTACTGTGCTCTCTTCCTTACTCTTCCTGGCTTTATGAAGTAGGTGGTATTCTCCCTTTATGGATAAGGGGATGGGCACAAAATAGAATGACATGCTCAAGAAAGGTGAAGGGCTGAGACTGGGTTCCCTTTTTCCCCTCTGGTTTCTTTCCTAATCCCTGCTCTTACCTTCTAGGAGTCACTGAAGTCACAGTAGAAATGGACCTGTTCTCATGGGACCCAGTCTAGAAATGATAGTCATCAGCCATGAGGATACAAAGATTAATGATGTTTCAAAAAGCACTAAAGGGATACCAGGTTTGGGTGGTCTGGGAAGATGTCTTAATAGACTGAATCAGCCAGACATAGTGAGATGTGGGTTGTCGGGGGTCGGGAGCAATAACATGTGTGAAGCTTTAGGTGGGAAGGGCTTGGAGTAAATGGAAAAGGAAGCCCATGTGGATAGAGTAGGGCAATGAGGGCTGTGACAAGAAGTGTGGACAAGAGTGGTCAGGGGTAGGATATTACCTTAAGGGTGACAGGGAGTCAATGAAAGGCTTCCAGCAAGGGATGTTCACAAAATTTCTCCAGCCACAGGGTAGAGGACAGCATGAATATATCATCTCTCTGCTTCTAGCTGAGTGACATGTGCTCAACGGCCATTTGCTTTTTTGGGGCCAAGTGAGTCAGGTACCTCCTTGGACTCTGAAGAACTGTAACTCCTCTAATCACAGGTCTGCACAAGGAAATGGCAATAACAAGAGATGGTATGTGGTACTAATGGATCCAGGCTCTGGGCAGGCAGGTAGAGTCTGCCCATCATCAAGGTCATATGGATAGGTTAAACTGGAGACAAAAAGTCACTACGATTTACCAAGTACTAGATGCTCTCTTGCTTGCTCTTCCTGGCCCTATAAAGTAGGAGGTATTGATTCTTATAGATAAGGGAATGGGAACAAATAGAGTGGCATGCTAATAAAGGTAAAGGATTTCCCCTCTTCCTCTCTGGTGTCTTTCCCTGAGAAAGTTTCCTTGTCCTTTCTTAGCTTCACTCCATTTAAAGCAGAAATCACCACAAAACCCTTTTCTTAGAAGTTGTGAGAATGAAGGCAATGAACAAGAAGCACTTAGCCTAATGATAGCTTATTGACTCTAGTCAATAAGTGACTGGTCACTGGTATGTAATACAACTATTTATCTCTATGGCTCTAGAGGGGGATATTTGCAAACTGTGTGATTTTGGGGGCTGTGGGAAACTTTCAAACACGTAAATGTGGGTTGAATTGCCTAATGAAATAGTGAGCTCTCCCCTTTGGAAATCATCTGAGAAGAGTATTTTTTGACATGTTTAAAGGGCTGATCTAGGCTGGGCAGGGGGACTGATCTCAGATTCCTTCCATCTGCAGGGCTTCATTAACCTTGGCCTCAATGAGAACAAGCTCTGCATTGATCTGCTGATTGAAAGGGTAAGCCAAGTTCTGGGCTCGCTGGGGCCCATATTCAGGCCCAGGACTCCTAGCATGTGGAGGCTGTAGGAGTGGGACTTAGGCAATTAGGAAAGGGAATGGGGAAAAAACTTCTGGAATAGCATGTGTCATCTCCTGGATTTTATGAGTGTTCAGAGGTAGACTGACAAGGGAGCCTCTGGCCCAAGTGTTCGGTTGTGGGGGTTGCTAATTAAGCAATTCTCAGTAAGTTACCCATTTGTGTGATCTGATAAGGAGATCAGGGCCTCCTTCATTCAGGAGCATGCAGCATGTGTGCCCATTGCCCTCTGGGAGGCCCTATGTTGTAGGGCATATGCCCACGTGCATCCTAAGAGTAGGATGAAGACTGTGGAGCTTCCCTGGTCTGGCTGTCCTCATGCTTTATTTGTCAACAGTTGCGTCGGAGTGACATGAACTACATTAATGATGACCTTCTGCAATATCCTGATTGGAGAGGACATGCCTTGTAAGTAACTTCCAGATCTATGGCCTCCTAGTCCACAGGTACCAGTTCTCAGGCAGGGCAGAATTCAAATATCAGATTCTTGGTTGGCTACCTCTGTTTCTCTCAGTGAAATCTCTAGAAAATGTCTAGAGCACAACTTTAGGAGGCAGCCTGGTATAATAAAAATAGCCCAAGCTCTCACACTAATTGTCACCTCTGGAATCGATAATCTCAGTCAGTAACCAAATAACATGAGATTGGACACCTTGCTTTTTGGAAAAGACAAAAGTCTAGATACTGAATATGAAAGGGCTTCTGGGCCTGAAACCACAAGATCTCTCTGGGTCTCTTCATAGCCTGAGGGAAGAAGTAGCCCGGTTCCTGACCCACTACTGCAAGGCACCTGAGCAGCTTGATCCAGAAAATGTAAGTTAGTTTCTAAGCCTCACTTATCTCCTAGTGGAGAGATGTATTCTTGAGGGCTCTGCATTAAAGGGTCCAGGAAAAACCAGCAGAGGCCTTCAGGGCCAAGACGAATGAAAGCCAATGGATTCCAACTTTGAAGGCTAATTATCCCTGTCCCTACTGAGCGGGAGGGAGACAGAGGGATTAGCCCATCATACATGGAGATTGGTTTTTTTTGTTTGTTTGTTTGTTTGTTTTAACTTTTACCTCTGTGCATCTTCTTCAGGTGGTTGTTCTAAATAGCTGTGCCTCTGTCTTCTTGACCCTGACCATGGTGCTGTGTGATCCAGGTGGTAAGTTGATGAGCTCTGCTTTCCTTCAGAGAAATAGCAGCACACAGGCACTGGGCCTCAGAGAAGAAGGCCCTTCCCCTAAAATGCTGGGACTCTCCTGTACTGGTTATATATTTTCTTACTATTTCTATAGGAGTGAGGGATTTGCATCCTCACTTAATGAGGAAGAAAACCATGAGAGACATCAAGGAGATATGCCCTTGGGAATGGTGATGATGGGAGCCAACCCATTATATTATTAGCTGGGATTTAGGGCTCAATTCCAATACAGAGAGACCTGGTAAACTGACTCAAACTATATAGAATTTCTATTCACCTTCTCCTCAAAAACAATGTCTAATGAGTTCTAGATCACATAAAGCTGAAAAATATGTTTTCAATGTCCCTCTTAACAATGTCCAAACAAGAGTCTCAGACTTTAATGAGCTTTGGCTGCATAGAAGATAGTTACCAAGGTGGCCAGTTTCATTCAAATCAGTAGGTCCTTGGTTAGTTCATCAATAAGGCCAATTGATGGGAAGAGAAGCACACTTGAGACCACCAGGTGTAGATAACATGAGTTATGTGGAGAGAAAGAACCTTCCTTGTGCAGGGGCCTAAGTCTCTGGTGTTTACCCTGAAGCTGATCGGAATATGTTCAATGCCCATCATACTGGCAAGATAGGCTTGATTTGCACCTTGGTTTCTGAGCCATGCAGAGCACTGTTTTTTTGTTTTGTTTGTTTTTGTTTTTTTGGTCTCCTTCTATAGTGTAGCCCCAAAGCAAGGACACTTGAGTTTTGTTCCCCAAATATTGTTTATAAGAATGGCTACCTTTTACAGAGCTTGAGCCCCAAAGCATTTCCCAAGTGGCATGGATTGCCCAAGTAACCTACCCTGTCAGTAGAGTTGCTGCTGGTCTGGGGAGTCAGGTGGGTGTGGTGGTTCTGACCAAGAGACCCTGGACTGACAGCCTTGTCTCTCTGTGTTTCCAGATGCCTTTCTGATCCCCACCCCCTTCAGTTCCAGCTTCTCATTAACTTCCTACCTGTATTCAAAAGTTGAGCTGATTCATGTCCATCTGCAGAGTGAGGTCAGAACGGGGTCCTTTTCCTGCTCAGCCCACCTAGACAATGAAATGTTCTGGAGGCATTCCAGGGTTTATGGGTGGGGCTAGCTTTCCTGCCATATATGTAAGTGATGATGGGATGAGGATGGAGAAATCAGCACAGAGGGCATGTGGGGACTGGTACCGTGGGTATGAAGGCGAAGGATTGTTCATGGTTTGTGGGAATGAGAGACCAAAGTTTCGAAGCTTTCAGATGGGTGGTCCTCAGGCAGTGTTTGTGTTCCAGATCACTGAGGCCAATACCCAACCATTCCAATTGACTGTGGACAAGTTGGAGAAAGCCATGGTTGAGGCTAAGTTTAAGGTAAGGAGAAGACCATGGGTCCTAAATTGCTGCCCTTGAAGGGGTTCAGTGCTAAGACTCTGCTCCAACTTCCTCAACAGGGGAGTGTGGGCTCCTTCTTCAGAAGAAGCAGTGTTTCAGGGACATGTCCCTCTGGGAGCCCCGAGCCTTCTCACTGGCAGTCCCCAGTGCTATTTTCTGCCCTGCTCTGGGGCAGTATGGTAGTTGCTTTAGGATTCTATGTAGACCTATATTGGGTGTCCTGTCTGACATTGGCTGAATGTGAAGTAGATGTGAAGGATTTGAGTTCATTGGGTTATGTTTGGTTCTTTCAGAAGCAAAAGGTCAGAGGTCTTGTTCTCATCAACTCCAATAATCCTCTGGAAGACATCTACTCTCGGGACTCACTGAAGGAATACCTAGAATTTGCCAGGAGGTAGGAGTTTACCGCTTGAAATTAAACAAATTGCCACCGGTCATGGACAAGAAGTCAGAACCAGAAATACTTTTTTTCTAACTATGCTTATTGCTTATTATACTCTTCAAAGTGGTGCACAACTAACTAAAATGGGAATAAGAAAAATGCAACCACATGCTTACAGCTTCCACCAAACTCCCCCCTCCCCCATTTTCTTTCTATCAATAGCATTTTTCATGTGCAAACATCTATGTAACAATCATACTATAGTTTTGTTACTCATCCACTTTTTGTAGCATGTGCACTTTTCTAGCCTCTACTTCCCAAACTGGTTGGTCTGAGGTTCCAGGGAAGAGAGACTATTGGACGATGTGGGGTGAAAATAAAGACTATTCCACAGAACTTTATGTCCCATTCCTGAGAACATGTTCATATATGACGTGTCTGGGGTCAAAAAACAGCCCTGTTAGGGGTAGATAGTCTTCTATTCTAAGCCTGGTAACTAACCAGACCAATTAACAGGGAAACATGGGAACAAAAGGAAGAACATTGCAAGTCCTGGGCTTGAATTTGACAGAATGGGGTTCAAGGCCCTGCTTCAAAACCTGCTGATAGCAAGTATTAACTTTGTCTCAGAACCTAGTTTCTTCATCTGTGAAATGAAGATAACAGTACTGCCTCAGAGGGCCAATGTGAGAACAAACACAATGTACATAATAGTCTTAACCCACTTTAATACCACAAAGTCGTCTCTGCTTGAGGATTGAAAGGTTCAGTAAGATTTTTCTCATGTGTATCCTTTGGGTTCTATGCCCTCCAAGAACACCCTCTCCATGTGTAAGGTCCTTTCTTGTGTACCAGCCCCTCTGCCTTACCATGATCTTTGGTAGATGGGCTGCTGGGGCAGTAGGAGAAAATCTGATCTGAATTCAGAATTGACCATAAAAGAAAGTGAGTTAAGATGAGAGAGAGAACCTTGATGTTGCTTTCCCTTTTCTGCCTAACTTGCAGGCACGACCTTCATGTGATTATTGATGAGATTTGCATGCTGTCTGTGTTTGATGAATCCATCCCATTCAACAGTGTTCTGAGCATGGAAAGGTGAGTTGGTCTCAGCTGGAGTGGGAATAAGAATATTAGCTTCCTGCTTTTGCACAGTGATTTATGTGTCATAAATTCACCTGGCTAAGTTTTAGGAATTGAGTTAAATGTGAAAATAAATCAAGTATGATCTTTCCTCCTAAGTACCTTTGTTCTAAATACCACATTGTATATGAGATAATTGAGGGCAAGGTAGAAATAAATATCATTATTTTATCCTTCTAAAATAAAGATAAACCTCTACAAAAGGTCTGGTTAGAGGACCTCAAGGCCCATTCCCCATTCCCACACACAGACCTTCAGTCTTCCTCACTCAAATAGTTCTCTATAACCTTGATTGTATTCTCTTCCTCCCCAGTTTACCTGACCCCAACAGGACCCATGTGATATGGGACACCAGTAAGGTGAGTCCCAATAGCCTATTCTTGTGTTGGGAAGGGATGGGAACCAAGAACATAAGGTATTTACTCCCTTAATTCTCTTCCTCTAGGGTTTTGGGATTTCTGGCTTTCATTTTGGCACTCTGTATACCCACAACAAGGAGGTGGCCTCTACTGTGGGTGCTTTCGGCTTCCTCCACAGCATCTCTGGCATCACCCAGCACAAGCTGTGTCGACTGCTCCAGGACAGAGGTACTGAGCTCCATTCAGACATCTTGGTGATCAGGGCCATAGGGGAATTCCTGGGTCTGCTTGGGCCTCTGTCATGCCTTCAAACCCCTGACATCCTGTTTGCTGTTTCAGGTGTCATGGTGGAGGACAGGAAGTTTGAAGGCAGGCAGGATGCAGCTTAAAGGAGGCACTAAAGTGTAGACAGAAGAGGGAGGCACTGGTCTAAAAGCCAAGATGGGCTTTAATTTCTGGCTGTCTGGTAGCTCGTGCTCTGCCTGGAAAGAGGATAGACAATTATATGCAGACTTCTAGGGGGACTTCCCAAATCTGTCCTTACGTCAAGGCCTCTTTTCCCTTTCTATATTCTGCTTGCTCAGCAAAGATTACAAAGATACAAGTGCCCTGATTCCTCAACTATGACTTAACTTCATCTTCCAATGTGGCCAAGGGAGCGCTGCCATTGGGCAAGTTGCTGTGGCTACATCTATGGCCCTTGGGTTCTTCTGCCTTTTGGATCTGATGTGAATGCTGGCTTCAGGGAGAACTTCCCCCTTTAGTGCCATGGCCCAAACATAGAGAAGGGCCCCTTTCTTTAATTCTCTGTAGTAGAGCAGATGCCAGTTCAATAGATTTAAATTAAAAGGTGGGATATCTATAATAATAAAAGAATATGCTAATTAGACCGGACAGCCAAATGACCTTCTGGACATCCTTCTGGATAAAGCCACAGTGGTTAGAATCAAGGCAAGAGGCAGTTAGGGGCAATCAGGCAGGCAGGCAGAGTGGTTAGAAGTGATCAAGCAGGTAAATAGAGGTGGTTCAGGGTGATCAGGTAGGCAGGGGAGCAGTTAGGGGTGATCAGGCAGGGAGGCACCTAGTTTGAGATGATCAGTCAATCAGGAAGGCAGGCAGGCAGAATGACTAGGGGTGATCAGAGAAGCAGGTAGAATGGTTAAGGTGACCAGGCAGGCATGCAGACAAAGAGGTTAGGGGTGGTCAGGAAGGCAGGCAGGTGAGCAGTTAGGAGCTGGCGGTCCTGGATTATGAAAGGGTGCAGGCCGGGCTGAGGGTCTCCCCCTTCTGTGTACAAATTTCATGCACCAGACCTCTAGTAATTAAATAAATTTAAGTAACCAAATAATCTGGTTGAGAAAACAACTTTACTCTCATCTTTGGGTGAGTAAAAGGGTAGATAGGAGAAATCCATTGACCTGTTTCCCTACATGGTGCCTGGCCCTTTGATATTTGGCAGAAACCAGGTTCTCAGCCCCCTAAACATGGCTATAAATTTGGCAAGCACATGGGAATTACATGGGGAGCTTAAAGGCCAATGCGTGGGCTCCATGTGATCTGGGTATATAACCTGGCCATGAGGATTTCCATAAGCTCCCCTGGTGGTTCAATGTGCTGCAAATACTGAGAACAACTGGGCTAAGATCATCACCAAATACCTCAAAGCCCACTGTGTGAGGTTGTAAGGCAGGAGGTAGGGGGAGCTATGAGTTCCTGCTTTCTGTTCATTTGACAGCAAAAGCATCAACCCGTTACAGGGGATGCCCTGACTCTTGTGTCAGAGCTGTAAAGTCAAACAGAACACGTCTACAGGTTTATGGAGAAGTCCAGTGTCTTCGCCAGAGCTATAGGTAGTAGGTAGGAGGTAAGTTTTGAATATGGATGCCATCGACTCAAATATAGTATGGAGTCAGTCTTGGACAGAAATAGCTGCCAGGAAGTCCAGGTAGGAGCATGTGGCAAAGAATTCTTGGCAGTTCTGTGCCAGAGGATCTGTGACAGCATTCTCCCCTATCACCATCCAGAATGGATTGACAACGTGTACCTGCCCACTAATTGCTCCCGGATGAAAGAGGCTCACAAGTACATCACTAACAGGTTGAAGACAATGAACATCCCTTTTCTCAATTGTGGCTCTGGCCTCTATATCTGGATCAACTTGAAAGAGGTGAGCTCTGGGAGTGAGGACAGGTGTCCTTGGGCAGACCTGCCTGTTAGGTCTTAGGCTCAGCTCTGTCCCTCTGCCATCTCTAGCACCTGGATCCATGCACTTTTGAGGAAGAGCAGCAGCTTTATTGCCGCTTCCTGGACCACAAGCTCCTATTGGCCCCTGGCAAGGCTTACAAATGTAAGGAGCCTGGCTGGTTCCGAATCACCTTTGCAGATAAGCCCCAGCGCCTGAAAGTTGGTGAGTGGTGCTGACATCCCAATCCTGGTGTCTTCCCCTCCTGTAGTCCAATAGCTGAGTCTTCCCTTACTGGGCTTTAGTATCTATAGCTTCAGCTCATCTATACCTTAGATGGTTTGCACTTTCATATTTTGATTAAGTTCCTTTGCAAACTGGGGCTACGTGACCTGCCATTGATCAGGGCACTAATCAGAAGTGGTCTTCTGTCCTGTGGGGCTTGAGTTAGTGGGTGAGATAGACAGGGATGAGCATGATGTCTCTGTATATTTTATACAGTGAGGTTCTCCTCTGAAGGTTATGAGGACATGGCATTCAGTTATCAATGACCTGTTGCATCTCACCATATGCTGGACACTGTTCTGTCTGCTTGGAATAGAGCAGTGAAGAAAAATTATTTATGTCATAAAACTTTTGAGCTACTGAGGAGGATAGATGGAGTGAAGGGACACTAGAGGCAATAGAAATGTTGAGTCCAAGTCTATGGTCAGGTAATAGGATTTTATATGAGACAAAGTGTCTTGTAGGCACATGGCTGTGACATTGAAACTAAAAATGAGCTATCAGCCAAAGCCGGTTTGGCTCAGTGGATAGAGCGTTGGTCTGCAGACTCAAGGGTCCCGGGTTCGATTCCGGTCAAGGGCATGTACCTTGGTTGTAGACAAATCCCTGGTGGGGGGTGTGAGGGAGGCGGCTGATCAGTTTCTCTCTCATCAATGTTTCTGTCTGTCCCTCTCTCTTCCTCTCTGTGAAAAATCAATAAAATATATTAAAAAATAATAAATAAAAGTGAGCTATCAGGGATGTGGTGGATAGACTTGGAAATGCATCCCAAAGAAGGGTAGGCTGAAGTTCAACATCCCTGAAGCGTGGCTCCGTGATGGTCTATCATGACATGGGGATTTCTGGGGCCCCCTTGAAAACTCACTAATTCTATTTCTATCTCCATTTGGACCCTGTAGCCATGAAGAGGTTCTTTGAGACACTACCTGATGTTACAGAAGATTGGGAAAAGGTGTCAATGGAAGATGTAATGGCAGAAACTGTGTCCTTCCCCGTCCACTAGGCACTCCAGCTCATCCTCCAGTGGCTGACTCCTTCGAAAACTTGGACCCCTCTTATCTTTGAGAACTTGCTTCTTTTTACTCTTTGCTAGCCATTGTGTGTGAGCAAAATGTTTTTATGGGTTGGGGTTGGAAATCCTAGAGTAACAAAGGGAGCTTTCTGCCTCCCTGTTTAATTGGGTTTATTTTTGTATTTGAAACCTAATAAAGTCCACATTCTCTTAAATTCCAGGCCCATTTTATTTCTTCCTCACTCTTCATAGTCAACTCTAGGAACTATTCATTTTTTTTTTTTGGTCCTTTTTATTTTTAAATTCCAAGGCAGGGTATACATGAAGAATAGAGTTGGAGAAGGTTTTCTAGGGCTGGGGATGCCGTTTCCCAGAGAACTCTAATGAAATCACAGCCACCTTCTACATGAGTGGCCAAATGGCAGGATGGTGATATAACTGCAGATGTTCCCGCTTCCAAATACAAGCTCATACCCTTTGTGCCTTTTCAAAAATCCTTTAAAAGGAATCTCTGGTGCCAAGCCTGGGGTCTTCCATTTCTCTCTCTAGTCTCTTCAGCTGTTCAACTAACACCACCCGGGAGTGTTTCTGCAAAGCCCTTGCTTATTGGGCTTCAATCAGAGCACTGGGTCTGTGAAGTAGGCAGAGCAGCGACTACCTTCATTTTATAGAGGATGAAAGGAATTTCAGTGCCAATGGATGGCTTCGGTCAGTCACTTGAGTTTGTGATCATCTTCTCTTTTGGATCCAGGTTTGGTTGTTATTGTTCCTTGATGACTATCTCCTGATTGTGTGTGTGTGTGTGTTAATTAAAAAACATAAGAACAAATGATTCTTGCAGGTTTTTTTTTTTTTCTTCTCTACACATAGTTTTTTTAGAAATCAACAATGGCTAAAAAACAGAGGAATTCATTGGATGAAAGAGGGAGCTTGTGGAACCAGAAAAGAAGGTACCTGACATCTTGGCATCTTGGAAATGGCAGCTAAAATACAATCCTGAAAGGCAGTTTGCTGTACACATATTCGCATCTATATACACATTAAATGTCTATCTTTGGAAAACTTAGTCTAGAACAAAGGCAGTCAAGGTCCCTGCCTGCAAGACAAGCAATAATGTGAGAGACCCAGAAAGAACCATCACCCAACAATACAGTGATCTTGTTAAATTCACTTATTAGCTCTCATTGTGTATGTGTGTGTGTGTGTGTGTGTGTGTTTGGAAGGGGGATTTCTTTGATTTTTCGATGTACACAATTTGTACACAAATGTATCCTGTTGCTAATAAAGATAATTTTTCTTTGTCCTTTTTGGTATTTATTTCTTGGTTCCAACTGCATTGCCTAGAACAGTGGTTGGTAAACGGGGCTTGTGAGTCACATACGGCTCTTTGGCCCCTTCAGTGTGGCTTGGCGTTAGAACCACTTGTTCAAAATAGACCCGCTCAGGCTGAAAACCAACTTCTGGACATGGGACACTAAGTTTCAATAGCACTGTCCATACGCACCCGCACGTGGTATTTTGTGGGAGAGCCACACTCAAGGGGCCAAAGAGCCTTGTGTGTCTCTCGAGCCGCGGTTTGCCAACCACTGCTGGAACCCCCAGTCCAATGTTGAAAAGTGGTGAGAGAGGACCTTCTTTTATTCTCAGTCTTACAGAGTTGACTTCAGTCAGACAAATGTAATGTCTTTTTCCTGTTACCTTCAGTGAGAATTATACAGTCCTTACCATGGTTTATTTAAGACTCATGTCTTAACCTCTGCTTGTATCTTTGTCCTTTCTCCCATACCTGTAAGTTTCAGAGGTATCAGATTTGTATTGTTCATGCATTTTGTACACATATCTAACCTTCAAGGGCCTATCAAAATGCTTGTTCTGCTCTAACACCTCGCTGTGTATGGGGTATGCGTTTGTGGGGGTGGTATTAAGCCTCCTTGCTGTATGCTTCCAGGGCCCTCAGCAGTCCATTTCTTAACAGTTATCCCATGTGTCTGTCTGCCTTCCCAATCAACCATACACGTCCACAGCTTGATTTGCTCATAAATGTATCCCAGCACTGGCCGAGATCTGGCACAAAACAGCCTTCCAATAAGGCAACTGATCTGGATTAAATAGAATGCTATGACATGAACAGAGAGAAGTGGCTCATTTTGCAGAACAAAACATGAAGGACTGAAAAAGCCATGAGAGCTGCTTGAGGTTGTGATGCTGATTACTGGTAGTGGCAAGGTCAACGTGAAGACAAAGGGAGCCCTCAGAAGGCAGCCAGGTCTTCCCGCCATGCTGAACAGAGGGAGCCTGCTGCTGTCCTTTCACGGGGAAAAGAGACTTTTTTTAAAAAAAATTATTGATTAAGGTGTCACATAATTGTCCTCTTCCCCCCATTCCCATCCCAAACCTCTCCCCATGTATGCCCCCCCCGCCCCCCTGTTGTCCGTGACCACTGGTTAGGTACATATACATATATGTCATACAAATGTATGTATACAAGTCCTTTGGTTGATCTCTCCCCCTTCCCCCACCCTCCCCTACCTTCCCTCTGAGATTTGATAGTCCGATCGATGCTTCTCTGTCTCCGGGTCTATTTTTGTTCATCGCTTTACGTTTATTTCCCCTAGATGCGTGAAATCATGTGTTTTTTACTGGAGCCTCTGAGCAAGCCCGGGCCCTGGGTAGTGGAACTCACCGCCAATCCCCAGAACATGTAGGGTCATAGATCCAAAGGGAGCAACTACAAACGCCAGTGTGAACTCTCACAGGGAAGGATGTTTTAAGGATGTGCTCGCCTTAATCCGGAAAAGCTTCTCTCTGGCTGCATGCAGGCTTCAGATGCCTGGACACTGGGGAGCTAAACCAGGAGGCAAAGGGAGGCGCCCCAAAGAGCCAGCGGGAGGAGACCAGAGTCAGGGGCGGCGGTGGCCTGCCCCTTCCTCGCCAAGATCTGGAGCCGGAGCCTGGCCCTGGGCCCCTTCCTCTTTTCCTTCTTTGCCGGCTCCTGGGTGCCCGCAGGGTCCCATAGGGTCAGGGAGCTCCTGCTCCTGCAGCGCAACTGCGCGCGCGCGCCCCCTATCGGCCGGCAGGTCGCGAGGGGATCTGTGCTCTCCCCGCCCCGAGCCCCGGCCGGTGGGGACGTTCCTGCGGAAGCCCAGGTGCCCCGGGCTGTCCCCGCCAAGGGAGCTGATCCTGACCCTCGTCCCCGGAGCGCCGTCGCTGCTCCAGCTCGGCCAGGTCCGCGGGATCCTGCCGCGCAGACAGGTAGCCCTCTCTTAGCGACTGGCTCCCGGACTCGGCGAAAGTCTGCCCTTCCGTCCGGAAGCCTGTGCGTGGCCGCACTTCCTCCTCCGGACCCCGGAGCGGCCCTAGGCAGAGGCACAGGCGTCTCTCCGTCCGCCCCCTTGCGGGTCCGAGGCCTGGTCGGCGCGGGGATAGGGTGCGCTCTGGACTCGCCACCGCCTGGACGCCCATCGGCTCCCTCCTGGCCTCCCTCCCGGGCCTCGCCGGCCGCAGGCCTGGGCTGGGGGCTGAGGGCCTGGAGTGGGGTGTGCACTGGGGAGCCCAGCCAAAGGGGGCGGAGCCCAAAGGAGCCTTCCTGGTACACCATTTAGCAGAAGCCCCAGAGTCTCTCCCCCCTACCTCTCCCTCCAGAGTCACTGAGCTGCTGGCTGGACCCTCATCATTTTTAAAAAATATATATATTTTATTGATTTTTCACAGAGAGGAAGAGAGAGGGATAGAGAATTAGAAACACCGATGAGAGAGAATCATCAATCAGCTGCCTCTTGCACACCCTCTCCTGGGGATGTGCCCCCAACCAAGGTACCGGTTTTGGCTGGATCCCCATCATTTGGTGTGTCCCCCGTTACTTGGTATGTGGAGCTTGTCTGTTAGGACTGGGAAAATCAGCCAAGAGTGATGTTGGAGTGAAGTTTGTCTGCAGGCCAGGATTTAAGCGCTTTATCTACATTAACTCCTGTACATACGTCCCCAGGGCTACCGCATGAAGTGGGTGCGGTTATACCCGCTGTGCAGATGGGGAAACTGTCTTGAGCTGGCGTCCGCTCGCAGGGTGAGACCACCCAACCCAGGCCCACGCCTCC